GGATTATTAATCAGACTTTCAAGACTGATATTGTTCAGATCTTTAGCTTCCTGAATAGTTGTCACCTTTGGTTTGTATCTGACAAGAAGACTCCTAAGAATCTTTTTGACATGATCATAGGTAGTGTAACTCTTTTTAAAAACTTGAAGTCCAGACCCAAGAACTTGAAACCTTGAGAACATGGTTTCAATGTTCTCTTCTTCTTTCATTATGAACAACTCATACTGCAGAACCAGAAGATTAGTTTTGGCTTCTTTAACTTGTTGATTTCCTTCATAAGTAGGACATAAATATTCAAAAACAATTTTGGAAGTAGATTTGTTAATGATCTTTATGTACTTAGAGTAATGCAAAGCATCAACAAGAATGCCTCTCACTCTGTGGTGTTTTTTGTAAGTCTTCTTTAGAGCAGGTGAGATAGAGTTTCTATCAGCTACCGTTCCTACTTCATTCATAAAAATATCAATGCCATCGTTAAGAATGTCTCACAACTCATCATTAAGACTTATGATATGCGTGTACATCTTGATTTTCCACCATTCAAACTCAGTAGATTCTCCACTAAATGTTTGAGGTCTAGCAACATCATTATTCTTTTCAGATGTACTATAATCATAATTAACATTACCAAGAGGAATGGGTTGTGGATTGGGACCACCATCACCAGAGTGATATGATTCAACCTCAGAATCATTCATGATAAAAAAAATGGTGTTTTTCTCAGGATCTTTTCTGCACCACTGTTAAGTGTTTAACACAGACCATGCTCTGATGCCAGTTGAAGGTGAGAAAAACAAAAGAAAAGGGTTGAATTATGTTCTATTTTTTCAAACTTTTCTTTCTTCTAGTTTTGATTGATCTTAATCATATTCTGAATACTCAATTCAAAGTCTAAATCAGAGTCACTCAGAGTCTGAACTCTTGAATACCTTTATTAGATTCTACAACAGAACTTGACTCATAGATAAATAAATGATAGCAGCAAAATATAGTTTAGAAGTAACTAAAGTAAAGCAAGAGACACAAGCAGTTATCATGGTTCCTCTCACAACCTGAGAGTAGTCAAGTCCCCTTGCACTTCCAAGGGATTTCCATTATAACCAAATTGATTACAAATGCTCAAGCACCAAGCAAGAGACTTTCATAGCTAAAACCCACAAGTAAGAGATTCAATACTCCAGCAAACAAAAAAGAGACTTTCAATGCTCAAACCCTCAAGTAAGAGACTTTTATGCTCAAGCACATAGGCAAGAGACTTCAAATTTCAAATGCTCAATCACACAGACAAGAGACTTCAAATGCTCAAGCATTAAAGCAAGAGATTGTTTAACTCTATATCAAATTGTTAAGATATTTGAATAAAACTACACTTAATATACAATCAGAGTGTAGACATAATACAACTTAGAAAGACTCTAAGACTTAAGAAATTCAAAAATATACAAATGTTAAGATGGTTATCAACGACTTCCCTTTCAAAAATAAACTTCGGTAGAAATGTTGTTGAATTTCGACTGTTCATGCGCTCAGGTATTTTTTTGCGCAGCGACAACCATCAATGGTCCTTATTTGGGCTCGATCCTCCCACAAAACTTGAGCACTATAAGAAATCACCTATGTCACGAAATCTAGAGTCCCAAGGAGAGATTTAACAATGAAACATTTTGGCTATAAGACAGGCATTTAATGCGTGTCTTCTCAAGTCCAACTACTCCTGTTGGCTGCATTTCCAACTTCAGAGTGAAGATATGCTCGGAAACCGTTGGACAATTAGTAAGGACAGTCGAAATAGTCGGTCTCAATATTCCTTCACAATCCTAGCTTTAAGAATTAACACAAAGACCTGGGAGCAATTGTTTCGCGTGGACCCAACAGTCCAATAAGACCGACCTAAAGTCAATCGGCTTAATCAAGGAATCTTCTAGATGGAATACGAACACTTAGACCCTCGCCAGAAGTTCGTACATCGGACCTGATCTACTTGTTAATCACCAATCGTCAGACCTAATCAAAAGGTCTCCCACACCGTCGGACCAAGCAAGAGTGATTTCAACTTCTTATTGTATATAAGTTATGCCACATGTCATAAAATACATTATTCATTCACTTTTGCAAAATGACATCTCTTTACCTTACTAACATAGACATTAGAGTGCTAAACTTAAAGGCACACCCTTACTTCATCATATCGGAGACTGATACCATTGCATAACCTTTATCTGAATGATCTCATATATGTTCCATGTCAAAATATAAAGGAAGAACTATCACCTATATCTTACTAATCTTCTGTTCCACGTCAAAATATAAAGTAACATTATCTATATGTCACTAATTTTTTGTTCCATGTCAAAATATAAAGGAATATTATGTGAAATTTTTCTTCGAATAATCCACTTTTTCAAATTAATACTCAAATTAACCCACTTTTTCACGTATTTTTTAAACTAACCAATTTTTTTTAAAAAAATAATAAAGAGGTGTCGTCAATCCAATTGACGACAGTGTACAAAAAGAGTACATTTTCTCTCATCTGTGTTTGTACACTGCCGCCAATTGAATTGGTGATACCTCTTATGAATTTGTACAATGTCGTCAATTGAATTGATGACACCTCTTTGTTAATTTTTTTTGAAAGTAGGTTAGTTCAAAAAATACTTTAGAAAATAAATTATTTGAATAAAAATTTCATATTATATTGTGGAGAAACTATTTTATTTAAGTAACTTATATTGAATTAGTTTTAAATTATTAATTAAAATTATTTTATATACTTTGTTTTATATACTTTTTATTATTATTTAAATGATATTTCTTTCGGCCTGTTTAATGTAATTTTTTCTTACGCAATCCCTAGATTTTTTTTTAAATAAAATAAAATAAAGAAGGAAATATTGTAAGCATTTTAAAAAGTAAAGAATTCAACAAGAAAAGAAAAGAAAATCTTAAAAAAAGCAATAAGATGAAAGGTAGCACACGGTTTTTGTCTAGGTATATACATTGTATATTATTTACTCCTATTTCATAAATTTATCACAAAAGATAAATGTATTATTTTCTTTAAAAATATATAATTTTTTTTTCTTTTTTTTTATATTGAATAATTAAAAAGTGAATGCTTTGTTCTTTGTGTCTATCCGTTTAATTTACTACATATGACAAATTTGTTTTCAATTACATATTTTTATGATATTTTTATTTTCTAAAATTGATTCATTTGACTCGATTAAAATAAGGCAAACATTTCGCTATCCTTCAATTTAATTGATATTGATATTTCTAACCAATCAAATCTTATAATTCAATGTCATGTTATTTTTATATTTTATTTTATTTTAAAATAAATTTAAAATTTAAAATTATTTGCACCAAAAATATGAATACTCAATTTAAATTTATTGGTACTGAAGAATTTAACTTGTCTAAAAGTTAAATGATTGAAGAAGAAAAATAACTAAATGTTTTTCATTTTAAATAAATAGATGAAAGGAAACATGAGGTCTTTTGTTTACGATATACTATATTATAATTCATATACCATATTATTTTATTATATACTTTATATATTAATAATTTATTATTAATATATAATATTTTTATGTATTAATACTATATTAAAATATATTATATATTAGCATATGTTATGAATGGTAATTTTGTAAACTTTATGTTATTTTATTTATATTATATATAATATATATCAAACATGCTTAATTTTTTTGCATGTGATATATAGAATCTAAGTCTATTTAATAAGTTATCATAAAAGATAAATGTATAATTTTATTAAAAAAATATATTTTTCTCTCTTTATTTTTATATTGAATAATTAAAAAGTATATGCTTTAGTTTTTGTGTCTATCATTTTAATTTACTATAAATGGAAAATTTGTTTTTAGTTACTTAATTATTTATTATAAATATAATATATTTGTAAATATATTAATACTATACTAAAATGTATTATATTATCATATGTTATGAATGGTATTTTTATAAATTTTATACTATTTTATTTATATTATATAATATGTCAACCTTGTTGAATTTTATTTATGGTTGGTTTAAATTTATTTGACCCCTTTAGCCGGATAATAATAATAATAATAATAATAATAATAATAATAATAATAATAATAATAATAATAATAATAATAATAATAATTTTATTTTTAATAACTATTATTATTATTATTATTATTATTATTATTATTATTATTATTATTATTATTATTATTATTATTATTATTATTATTATTATTTGACAAACATTCATAAAAAAAGTACAAGGTTAACAAACATTTAGAGTGGGTCCCAAGCAATTATTAAGAACCAGTTAAACTTTCATGTGGTCATAAATTCGTATGGAGCCCAAATATTTATCACTTTCTATAATTTTGGCGTAAAAAAGTTACAGCTGTTGCAAGCACAACGTGTTTAGTTATATTGAATCCATTCATTCCCTTTAGAAACTTGTTAAACAATTAACCTCACATATATAATCTATCTTCTCACTTGTGTTGTGTTGTTGTTAACTACTTATAAATATAACCCGAACCTTGCGCTTCTTCTGTTGCTTCTATCTCTTTTTCTTTGTTGCTTTCCACTTTGAAACTCAGTGTGATAACAAGTGTTGTTGCTTTGCTTCTTGTGTTCATTTTTCTTCATGCGTGCAAGCAATTCTTAACTATACGTTTTCTTGCTTCTTAATATCTTTAAGATTCTGCATTCATCTTCCACCACAATTTCTTTCATATATACTTTCATCCTTGTCGCTGTCTTCGATTCATTATCGTATTCCATCTCTTTCAAAGGTTTCAACTTTTCTTAAATCTCTTTTATTTCACTTGTTTCTTTTCATATATAATCCACCATCTTTTGTTTTTTTGTTGTAACTTTGATTATATTCATGATAATGATAATGATGTTTCTCATCTTTTGTAATTTTTTGAGATGATTCTTCTTGTGTTTTTATAGATCATTTATCAATTGAAGTTATAATGGGGAGTCATATGAGCAAGAAGACTCCGGAAACATCATCTGCGGTTAATTTTACGACTACCGAATTGCAATACAAAACTGAACTCAGTTCTTATGAAGCGGTATGCAAGGTAGACATAGATTTGCAGACATTTGATTCAACGCTTCAAACTAGAACAAATCAAGTCATTAATACTCTAGCTTCCGGCGTTGAAGTTCGCGCTCTTTCGTTCGATTCGCTTAAACAAATCACAGAATGTCTGCTAGAGATGAATCAGGAAGTTGTGAAAGTAATCTTAGAGTGCAAGAAAGACATATGGAAAAGTCAGGAATTGTTTGAATTAGTGGAAGAATATTTCGAAAACAGTTTACAAACATTGGATTTCTGTGCTGCATTGGAGAAGTGTTTAAAAAGAGCTAGGGATAGTCAGTTGCTTATTCTCGTAGCGATTCAACGGTTCGAAGAAGAATCTGAATCTGGAGATAAATGCTATGTAAGAACATTACAGGAACTGAAGAATTTCAAAACAGCTGGCGATCCTTTCACGGAGGAGTTTTTTCAAATCTTTCAATCTGTTTATAGACAACAGATTTTAATGCTGGAGAAGCTTCAAGTGAGAAAGAACAAGCTCGATAAGAAGCTGAATCGCATTCATTCATGGAGGAAAGTTTCGAGTATGATATTTGTGGCTACTTTTGCTGCTGTTTTAATATGTTCCGTTGTGGCAGCAGCTATTGCTGCTCCGGCGGTTGCTGCGGCATTAGCCGCAGCAACCGCCATCCCAATCGGATCGATGGGGAAATGGATTGATTCCCTTTGGAAAAACTATGAGAATGCATTGAAAGGACAGAAAGAAGTTATTGGTGCAATGCAGGCTGGGACTTATGTAGCTATCAAAGATCTGGACAATATTCGCGTACTTATCGATCGGCTTGAAACCGAGATCGAATCTTTGTTGCATAATGTTGATTTTGCGATTGAAGAAGAAGCTGTGAAGATTGGAATTGAGGAGATAAAGAAGAAGCTTGGTGTGTTTATGAAGAATGTGGAAGATTTGGGAGTTCAAGCTGATGTTTGTAGCAGGGACATTAGGAGGGCAAGAACAGTTGTGCTGCAGAGAATCATAAAACATCCTAACGTTTGAAGATGAAGAATTATGTTTTATGTTGTTGGTGTTTGTTAATTATGTTTGCAGAAACATATTTTGATTATACATGTATGTTGTGAAATTTATTTATTTATTTATTATAGATCTTGAATTACAATATATTATTATAGTACATAATGATATATATGAGTTGAGAGAGGTGCTTAAAAATATAGTATAAAGTTATAAAGTAAGTAGTTGTCACCGTATTCTTAAATGCATTGATTATTTAATTTGTGAAATGTGGATAAACTTAGCCTGTAAGAGTTGTCAAAAGTTGGAAGAATCTTTGGGTTGGGCAATGTCTTGTAAGTTATGATTTCTAAAGAAAAGGATGTGATACAGAATTTGGTGAGTAATAATGAATGTGGTAGAGCATAAGGATGATCATAAGAGGTAAAAATTAGATGGCATTTTTGGCAAATTAGGTGTATATGGTTAATCATGAAACCTCATCATCGTGTTCACTTGCTGTAAATTATAGTTATAATATTTTTATACAAAACTTAAATCATTCAACTAAGTTTTTTTATCATTATTATCCTAAATAAAATTCTTTTGAAAAAAAAATTAAAGAACAAGATGTAAATATTAAAAATTATATGGGAATAAACGTGCAACAAGTTGGGTTGTTACCTCATTTTATATTACAAAATCAATTATTTTAAAAATTATATTTATTATTTTAGGATACACAATATTGATATCTATGAGTATATGCACTCTATATAAAAAGATAAGTTGTTTTTAGGAATTTATATTTAGAGTTTTGTATTAGAGTTATATATAATAAAAGTTAGAAGAATTACACACACTTATTAAAACAACACTCACACCTCCTTCTAATTTTAAATTAGGGCATTATTTAATCTACTCTATAGAGGGAGGGTGATTACATTGAAAATCTGAATTTCTCATTTTTATATTTCGGAGATGAGTCCCTGGACGCACTTTAAATGATGACAAATGCGCTTTGAATAGGGTCTTTAGACAAGTTTTTCAAATGGAGTATTCCTTGAATCGGTGCAACAATGCATAACAATTGCTCCTTGAACCATGCTAAGAAATAAGCATGTATGTGATTGTAGTTGCTTGTTCACTGAAGTTTTGAAAATAGTAGGTGTTAAATGTCCTATATCGAAACACATTATAAGTTAAAAGGTAATAAATTTTATATCCAATGTGTAAAGATAAATAGATAATTGGTATACTTACTAAAGATATGGCTTAACTTCAACGTAGTTAATTAAGACATGAACATGTGCAAATAGTAGTTCTTTTTCGGTCAGGCAATGCACATTCTTCTTTCCAGAGGGATGATCGAGAAGACCAAATATTGATAAGGTGGTAAGTTGACTTCTTTCATTAACATTAAATTCATTTCTTATGATTATTGGAGTTAACATCAAGTGATTGAAATAATGACTATAAAAATGTGATGTTTCTAGATGCAAGTAATGTGCACATATTGATTCTTCAACTTTAGCTTTATTTTTCACTGATCGCTTTAAATCACCCATAAATCTTTAAAACGAGTACATTCGCATATATTGAACAGGACCGCCAAGATAAGCTTTATATGCAAGTTGTACATGTAGATGCTTCATAGAATAAAAAAAAGGTGGAAAAACTTGTTCCAACTTACAGAGAATGACCATAATATTTTGGTCCAACTTAATGTCATCATCCACTCTTAACGTTGACGCACAAATATCTCTAAAAAATTGACTAATTTGAGTTAGTGGATTAAACACATATTTGAATAATGAAGTGAATGCAATTGGAAGCAATCGTTCCATGAAAACATGAATCATGACTTTTCATTCCATGCAACTTCCCAGTACTTGCGTCGATACACCTTGCTAAGTTTGAAGCATAACCATCAAGCATTCTCAATTTATTTAACGATCGACAAGCCACTTTAAGTTGTTGGGAAGTTAGACTGTAGTTAGCCTTAGGTTTTAATAATTTTCCATTCGGTTGAGGCTTCAACTCTAAGTCTTTTCGATTACACAAAAGTTTCATGTCCTTTTTAGCCTTCTTATTATCTTTTGTTTTGCCTTGGACATCCATCATTGTGTTAAATACATTATCAAAAAAATTCTTCTCCATGTGCATAATGTCAAGATTATGTCGCAATAAATTATCTTTCTAATATGGGAGGTCCCAAAAAAATACTTGTTTTTGTCCAATTGTATGTGTCTCCATATCCTTGAATTCTAAATACTTTACAATAATCAGTGAATTTTGGTAGTTCACAAACTCGGTTCCATACTTCACCTGGTTATAATTGAGGGTGGGGGGGGGGGGGGGGGGCAAATTTGTTACTCATTCGCCTTTTTTTTTAATTATTCTTGTTTCTTCTAAAGACATGATCTTCTAGTAAGAATTTGCGGTGACATTCAAACCACAAACTCTTCCCATTTTTTCCCAATATAAACGCCTTTGTGTATTCCATGCAATGTAGACATACCATTTTATCATGCGTACTCCAACCAGACAATATGTCATATGCAAAAAAGTCATTAATAGTCCATATCAAAGTAGCTCTCAATGTAAAGTTTTGCTTACAAGATATATCATGTTTATTCTCCAATCAGCAACCTCTTCAAATAATCAATTAAAGGTTGTAAATACACATCAATTATGGCTCTTGGACTAGACGGTCCTGGAATAAGGCAAGTCAAAACATGTATGATTTTCTCATGCACAATAACTGGCTAACAAAAATATCCAATTGTCGAGGCTCGGTATGGAGTAAAACTTTCAGATCATAATTCGAGTGTGACATTTCTAGGTTCTGCAGCAAAATCAAGATGTATCTGATCAATGTGCTTTCATGCCTCACCATCAGATGGATGCCGCATAGTGCTTGAACTTGTTTTTTTGTATGATGTCATGTCAACTGACTTGCACTATGCATTGAAGTAAACATTCTTTGCAAGCTTGGCATTATCAGTAGGTAAAACATGGACTTCATTGTTACATGTTTTTGCTTATGATAAATGGCTTTACTGGGAACTTGATATTGTAGCCGTACGAGATTGACTCATGCCCTTTTACATGTGAACTTTTAATTTATCTCAAAGGTAGGGAAGAGGAAAAATCTGAATAAACCTGTGAGTGTGTGCAATGCAAAAACAATGCACTTGAGAGATTGGGAATCAAGATTGGTTATACAAAGGGAAGGTACTAGCACCCTAAGTATCTATAGTATCATGTAGGAACCTCTTGCTTATATTTGTGTTACTATTGTTTTACTTGATGTGTTCTGGGAATGGATTGATTGGTTTTGAATGAATGAATGGGAAATGTTTTTTCTATTTTTGTGATGAAAAGTAAGCTAATACAAGGTATAAGAACCTAATGATTTTGTTTATTATTATGTTCGTTAAGATCTCGCAATCTTATGCCTACGTATTCTCCAAAGGAAGTTTAGAAATCAGAGCGTTCGTAGTTCAACTTACTAATGGGTGGAATGGGTTTGTTGGGTTTTTGAAAAGAGACAAATTGTCACCTTAAGGGAGATATCTCACCAATTCACCACAAACATTTTAAAAAAGAAGATAATAAGGGAATAAACTTTAAACTTAGATGTAAAAATCCAGAGTAATGCCATATCTTCCTTTAACTCAGTCTTTGCATTTTAAGAGAAGGGTCTTAACTTGGATATAGAATCAACAAGTGTGTTACTTACATCACTTAAATAAAATAAGTGTATTTGTACCATAATAAGAGAAGGACTCCAACTTGGATTTTGAATCAACAAGTGTGCCACTTACATCACTTAAACGGGAAAAAGTTTGAAATGTTTGATTTATGTTGTGGAGAATAGAAGATACATCTCTTTCATAGAGATGACTAGTGTCTCATCTCTGGGGGAGCGTTTTGAATTTTAAGCTAAAGGTTGGCTAGGTTTTGACTTGAGGTTTAAAGGTCGAAGCCATAAGAGGAAGTGTGTTGACTTTTAGGACTCCAAAGATGAATTCTCATATCTTTTTTGGAGAGTTTTGAATTTGAACTCTAACTTTCTTGTATAAAGCCCAAGAGGAGACTAATTTAATTGTGAAGTCTCCTTGTACAAAAACCAAGATGAGACTAAGTTGATAGTTGGAACTTCAACAAGGGAAACCTAGTGTTTGAACTAAGTTATAGTTGAAGGGTATCCTAAAGTTTTTGTGTATAAACATAAAGGAAAAAAGATGTTATTGTGCTCGCTAAGATCTTGCAATCTTATACCTACATATCCTTAAGAGGAAGTCAGAGCAATTACAGTTCATACCTAAGCTTGAAGTGTTATAAATGTCATGAGAAACTTAATAAAGTAAGTTTATTTGAACTTTTAAACAAGTGTAATCATTTGAGGATGACAAGAATATGAAATGATTAAACATGATATGTCAACATGTGGAAGTGTATCGGATAAGGAAATATGTTCATCATGATAAGAGTTTATGAAAGAAATACTTGAACATGTGAGCAAAGATTTAAGCAATGGAAGCAATTATAGAGAAGTTCAAGCAAGTATCTATTCAAGATGAATTAAAGATTAGATGAATACTGAAGAGTAATCAAAACCTTAGTGAAAGTTTAAACAGGAAAGTTCCTGAGCAAGACATTCAACCATGGTTGAATCAAAGGGCTTTAGGGAATCCAAACTCAAGTGGAAACCCTAGTCAAACATCAAGGATGTTTTAAAAAGAGTATAAAGAAATTATTTGAAGTAAAACCCTAGGGTTTCAAATGAATAACCAATGTATTTTCAAAAGAAAATAATACCTAAACAAGGTATGGATGGAGTATAAGTCCAAAATCAAGTTTAAATGTTTTGAATAAGGTTTACACAAAGTATACTATGATCATAAGGACATGTGTGTGCAATTAGATTAGGAGAAAAATCCAAAGGAAGTCATAAAAACTATGAAAATACTAAAAAAATGGACCACTTTTTATCCTAATAAAAATGTGTTAAATAAAAATTATTTTTGACATTTTTG